ACCTAGTTACTCGTAACAAAGTGAAATTGAATTTACTCAACAAAGTCATGTTAACTGACTCCACTAAGCCTAGTGGAGTAAAGCGAACAAAGATTATACAAATGTTGCTCAATTTACTCAACCTGGCTTATAATGGAACCAGTGCGGCTCAGAAAATTCAACAGTTTACTTCTTAGAGTGTGTAAAATTACTTTTACTTTCCCAATGTTTGTGAACAGTTTAATGACTTCTACTTGCGTAGTTTTCTCACCAGTGAAATTAATTTTTACCAAAGTAGTTTTCTGTTCATGTAATTTTACTTTTATTTAGTTTATTTTTTCCAAGTACTTTATAGACCTCTAAACCCCTGAATTGACCTTGGGAGCAACCCCCTCTGCTGGTAAYCAATGGGAATTACAGCTACAAGCCCAACTCAAATCAGTACATCCTAAATGGAGATGAGACCTTTTTCATTACTTTGAAATATCAAATTACTTCAAAAAAGTGAATATACATTCGAGTCCATCACAATCACTACATGCAGATGATGTAGGACAGAACATCCACCAGGATGGAGGTGCAGAAGCTGAGTGGAGATCAGAGCAGATTGGTAAATGCTCGGGCGTAGCTTCGCTCCAGGCCCAAACCAGTTACAGTTAAAAGATTGCCTCAAAATACAGCTTTTAACTGGAACAATTAATCTTTTAAGTCAATTCAAGATGGCCGCCACATCCAGCAAACTTTAGAAAACACAGAACAGCTGTATTTTTATTTTAAATAAATTCAGCTACTACAAAGATGTTAGCAGCAAATTTTAGTATAATTGGCTTTAACTGATCTAATTTTCAGAGCCAGCTGAGTTCAAGATGGCCACCACACAAACACACACACAAAAAAAAAAAAAATACAGTTGTCTGAGAAAAAAAAACGACATTTTATTGAGTTTGCAGGATCTTAAGTACAGTTTGAAGTGCTGTAACAGGGCAACAGGAGATGATATCAAGGTCCTTAATCTGAGAATGTATTCCAACTTTTGAATACACGTGTATGACAATATGCATATCTTTATTTTTTTTCTTTAAAAAATAAAATTATATCAAAAACAAAAACAATTTATAATAATATGGAATGCACAGAACTGGTCTGAGGGCTAAACCTGCAGTTGTGGATTATATGATTTCACTCTGCGAAGTCTACAGGAAGCGGGGGATGATTGATGAGAAGCACAGGATGAATGTGGGGAGGGGAGGGGGGAAGGAGAGAGGTCGTGATACCACATTTAGTAGTGACGTCTGAGCAGGAGTGGCGTTTGACTACCCAACAGCATCTGTTGCCCTCATACACTTCCACCGTGGTCGTAAAACTCACCCTGAGCCACACTGAAACACAACGCTGACCGCCCGTATTTTCATTTCATCTAAACCGATAAACCCTTTGAGAGATAAGAAAGCTGGAATAAATGCAAATCAGCGAAGAGATAGAAGCTGAGCGGTGCTGGAAACTTTCAATTGGCCAGTTTGACGACCTACAAACCGGTCGCAAATCTTATTTTTAACCCGAACGAGGGGAAACGTTTGATTCAGAAACTCACATTCATTAAAAACGCTAAACCACTCCCCACGTGTCATCTTTTATAAAACAGATTTATTRATACAGACTTAAAGATACTCATTGCAACGCCATGAAGACTGGTCAAAATATTAATTTGCGTGTTTTTGCTCAAGTTAAATTAAAGATCCGTAAGCTAAACTCGTGACTACGTGTTGACCTACATTAACTTTAATTTTGTGTTATTTACGCTCAGGTTTGTTAGAATGTGCAGATAAAAGTGCTTTGTTTACARTGAGCGCGTACKCACACAGATAATAGCTCTTTCAAACTGCGACGTTCACGATAAAATTATGTTCGACTCCACTGTTTGCAATGAGTACTTTTAAGATTACACTGGATTAGGATGATTATATTGGCTCCTGACGTTGTTTACATCACTGAGAAATGATCAAATATTTGACTTAAATGCTGTTAAGTGTCACATAATTTCATTTATTACTCTAAAGGATGAAACTACGTTAAAATGTCATGTCTCGTCAGGTGTTCCGAACGCACAATTCAACAGAAACTGCTTTAATACAATTACTTTATTTGTTAGCACACTGGAAAAAAAGAAAAGAAAAAAAAGAACAGCATGAAAAACAGTTTCCTCACATTAAATGGAAAAAATAAAAACAAACGGAATGTTTTCACACACAAACAGCATTAAAAACTAAAAAGAATCACGATACAGAGTTGTGCTTGGTTTTCTCTCTGTGATTTCTTTAAAGCGGAGGGAAAGTTTCTTTTTCTAAACCGTTTAAAAAGGTCCTCGTTGCAAAGTCGTGACACCTACAGAGACTACGGCCCGGCCTAATGTAGGTCAAAACCTTTTGTTTACGTCGAGTGCGTACCCACTTTTTTCAGAGTTGCATATCTGGACTGCGCCGTTCGATCTGACTCGGGATATTTGCTTTCATGTTTTGCGACGAGCACCTTTAAAACGCGTCGCTTTGTTTAAAAAGCTGTGGGCGTTGAAGTTGCAGAAGCAGGAACAGTAGCTGAAGTGGGTCCCATGGGTAAGACTCGTCGTGTCCCCTAACTTGTCCCTGATCCGTCCCGGTCCAGGCCGGCGGCGCTGGCGGGAGGTGCTCCACAGTTAGGCTTCCAGTTTTCTCAACAAGGCAGTGCTGAACACGAGCGTGAGAGACTTGTGCAGACGAAGGCGATGCGTGTCGTACAGAAATATATTAAAGACGTCTCTGAGCGGCAGATCGGTGCAAAATGAGAAAAAAGGAATGTTTAAAGTCAAAATAATAATAATAATAATAATAATAATAATAATAATAATAATAATGGTTGAAGCTTATTTCTGATGAACTGAGATTCAACACTGTGTTTCCAGTTTGGTCAAAAATCAAGCTGAATAAACAAAAATATATCGAGGGGAATCATTTCATTATTTCATTTTAGCGCTAAAGCTACGACGAGGCCTGACTTACCGCCGGGAGTTTAACACTTTTTAGAAGAAAGAGGCGGAGTCAGGGACAAACAGGAAACAGACATCGGCACAGACAGACAGAAGCAGACAAGACGGGTGGAGGAGGGGGTGGGTGAGCAGAGAGGAGAGAGGATTCAGGGTCACACAGGACAGATAAAAGAATAAAATTAAGAGAAAGCGGCGTTAAGATGAGATGGCACTGGGCTTTTTCCTTTCCTTCTCTCCCTTCCTTTCCTTTCCTCCTCGACGTTTCRTCCTCGCTCAGATGATCTCCACGTAGTTGGCGGGCAGCATGCCCTGCTGGCCGGTGCGCTCCACGCGGCCGTACATCCAGCCCTCGTCGATCTGCTGCACGTCTACGATCACGTCGCCGTCCATGAAGGACACCTCGTCGTCGTCCGCGGCGGCGTAGTCGTACACCGCCCTGAATCGTTTCTGTGGGCCCAACGGAGCAAAAAACAAATAAAAATTATTCATAATCCCGTGGCAGTGTCGTTCCCGAACAATCCCCGCCCTGTTTACCCCGGCGCTGGGAGGAGGGGCGGCGGCCGCCGGCTGAACGGGCTCAGGAGTCGGGTCATAGTGGTAGTTCTGAGAGGCTGCAGGAGGCTGGTAAGCTCCTGGTGAAGGAAGCAGAAAATTAAATACCGAAAACCAGAAATGAGCTTTCATCAGGGTTCCCACAGCTTAATGAAAGTTAAATTTAAGACTTTTTAATGTCATTTGAAATTAAAGACCAACTTCACAATAAACACAAATGTAAAAAAAAAATTACCCAAATGTTTATTTTAACACAAAAGCTGTGAAAAGCATTCTGTACATTATTTCAATAAAGAAATGTTACCAGTAATTTTAATGTTTAAGACCTTCTGCTTACAACATGTTCACATTTTAAGACCTCTGAAAACTTGTTTTTAGACATTTTAAAGCTAATTAAGGCCTTATTTTTGAATGTATTTTAAGACTTTTTAAGGATCTGCAGGAACCCTYTTTCATACAGCAATGAAATCCAAACCTTTGACTTCCTGTTTGAATGTTTGCATTGACAGGATTAGTTTAAAAAAACAACATCGCAGCAAGTAAAGACAGGCTGACTTCTCTGTTGCACAATCTCCAAACAATGACTCCCTGTGCAAAGTTGCAAATCAAGCAAAAAAATTACAAACTGTTGGTTGATTCAACACAGAACTTTTCCTTCCAGGCCTTGAAGTTTGACAGAACTGAATCAAGTCATCGTTTCTCTGCTCCTGGATTTGGTCTCATTAATAGTCTGGGGCGGTCCAGTACCTTGGTTGTGGGAGCCCGGCTGAAGAGGGACCTCTCCTCCGATCTTCTTCTTCTCAAACTCCTCGTGGTATTTAATCTGAAACAACAAACAGTCAGCAGGGTGGAGATTATAATGCAGACATGTTCAAAGCGTCTGTGTGCAGTTCATTTTTCATCCACCAGGGGTCGACCCTCTTCCTCTGCAGCCTGTGCTGAAAAGTGGGGTGGGTTATGAGAATGAAAAAAATAAAATAAAAAAAAGAGCTCAGGAAGCAGCTTGATGCTTAAAGGAAATGACATTTCAGCAGCCGGAAGCATTGCGAGGCAACCCAGGTTGACACATCACAAAAACACYGGTTGAGTAGAAAAAAATATATAAAAATAAAAAAATAAGGAACAAGATAAAAGTCTGAACATTCAGAAGAAGAACAAGATTAAACACAAACTGTTTTATTCAGATGAACTTAAACATTTTTGATGTGAAGAGGAAGAATCAGAAAGATGAAGAACTTCAGGTGGACTTTCAGGCTCTTTATTTAACCAGGCYGGGAAATCCCACTCAGGGGTCTGGACCTGAAGGGAGCTTCAGAACAGGAAGAGCCCAGGTCCAAATGGGGACTGAACCCAGGACCTTCTTGCTGGAAAGCAATGGTGCAAATTCACACTTTCATCCCCCCCTGAGTGGTCCACCTGTGGGGAGCAGGTAAAACGTCTGGACCTCGTCCTCAGTAATGAGGGCGTTGCTTCGGTCGGTCGTGGTGAAGAAAGAGCTGAGTCTAAAGACAAAGCTCTTGAAGGGATCCACAATTAGTTGTAACATTAGACTTTATTTGATAAACATTCAACTGTAAAATAAAGACTGTAAAAATACTGTAGGTTGTTTAGTTTTGTCCTTTTTTTAAAATATATTTTAACACAGATGGGGCCATTTTATTTACACACAAAGCATTCTGGGTAAATGATGACGTGGATAGGTCCTAAGTGTTAGCGAGCTATATCCACCCTGAAGGTTAATCTTGGACAATATCTGATGATCGACTCTTTTAAATGAAACCAGAGAGCGTTGACAGAGAGGAGAAGGTAGAAATGACTCAGCCTGGAACTGAAAATATGGATGGAGGACAACAGAGCTGCTTCATGGAAGAACAACCTCAGCTTAGCCTGTTAGCTTTAGTGTTAGCGCTGATGTTATATTGCCTTTTATGTATTAGCTCAGTGCTAGCGCGACAAACTAACCAGCTAAACTGTTGTCCTCCATCCATATTTTCAGTTCCAGGCTGAGTCATTTCTACCTTCTCCTCTCTGTCAACGCTCTCTGSTTTCATTTAAAAGAGTCGATCATCAGATATTGTCCAAGATTAACCTTCAGGGTGGATATAGCTCGCTAGCAGCCTCACACCGAGGACCTATCGGATGTCAACATTTACCCAGAATGCTTTGCTTGTTAATAAATTGGCTTCGTACCTCTTAAAATATATATTTAAAAATTATAAAATCTAAACAGCCTACAGTATTTTTACAGTCTTTATTTTACAGTTAAAATAAATGTTTATCAAATAAAGTCTAATGTTACAACTAATCATGGATCCCTTTAATTCACTGGTCTGTCTGTTCCTACCCTCACCTGTAGTCGTGAGGTTTGGATCTTGTCTAAAGAGAAGCAGATCCTGGTGGTCCTCTGCATGGAGCAGTCAGGTGAGGTGGTTCATCTGATGGATACTGGGTTCACACAGTGTGATAATTAGGACAATTTTGCCCTCTTAATGGCTTCAACAATAATTTTCTAAGATAATCCTGCCGTGTGTGGTGAGTTCAGAGTGATGCAGTCAGGACGCTGGAATCGCTACGATCTCAAATATTCAAGATTTAAATCAACCGACATTTTGAAAATCTTGAGTGAACCAGGCCTCCCTTTGGAGATTTCAGAGCTGCAGGGTCAGATTAGAAATCATCTCCGACACAGAACGTTGCAGCTGGTTCTTTCTTTTTTCTTTTTTTATTTTGCCCCAATACTTCACAGAGTGAGTCCTCTATGACTGCACCAAACAACCGGTTCCTCCTCATTACCCGGCTGATAACAGACTGACTCACAGCGCCTCGATCGAGCTGGAGTAGCACGATTTCAGCCGGGGCTCAAAGAGCTCACTGTGCTGGCGGCGCTGGCTGCGAGTGTGTTCACAGTCTGGATGGGACGACGGAGTGTTTGTGCAAAGACGCCGACGAACACAGACGCTATTCTCAAGCGCAATATGCTCACGAGAGAGAGAGATGGGACAGAGTGTGAGGGGAGATTATTACAGAAAAGAAAAAAGGGTCCTGAAGTATTTTCTCAACGGTGACAGGAAGTGAAAGACTCAAAAGAAAGACCAGAACTGAGAGGATTCATAAATCTTTCAGCTGTAAATCAGAGGGAACTCACATTGCTGATTTGGTCCTGCGTTTTCTTGATTCTTTGCATCTCCGGCGTGTCTGCGACAACGCTGAAACCTTTTCCTTTATTCTTCTCGAAATCCTCCCTGTAGTGGACCTGTAGGGCAAACAGGTGTCAGGTTAGAAACACAACTTTTTTTATGATTTATTCCAGACAAGTCAAAATCATTACATAAAGCATAGTTTGAATCTATATATCTCAACATACCCTTTCACATATCTACATGTTTTTATACAGCCAAAACCTCTTGTATCCTCTAGTAAAATAAATTTAAAAAATGAAACTACTTAGACTAATTATACAGAAATAAACCCAAAATAAATATACATTCGATGTTTACACACCTATCTGTGTACACCTACCTAAATACATACACTCACATGAAGCACATTAATCCCATGTCTGAAAAAGGGTAGGAAGAAGTAAAACGTATTTAATCCTACCCCTATCCACCTCTTTATCTGGTTTGTGATGAAAAACAAAATAAACAAAAATATACATGTATAAAATATTGAAAGGATTATGCTAATACTAAATTTTGAGCTGTATATTCACAACCAGAGACAATCACATTCAACTACACACCAATACTTCAAACTCAAACATGCAAAGCAAATAAGAAGCAGAGGAAACGCTGCAATGAGGTGGTATTTATAGACACTTTGACCTTGAATCTTTCAACATAAAGAAAACTGATCTAGAGCTAAAAATAATTCAGGTAAAAATGATAAATGTTTTCATTTTTTGAAATAGGATMTGTGTGTTTTGTGTGCAAAGTGAAACAGGCCCCTGCACACATCAGACTTTGTGGTGACGTGCACTTCCTGTTTGGTTAGGAGCCTTCTACACAGGACATGGCATCGACCATATATGGTCAAAATGAGAGGTAGGGAGTGACAATGTGTGTGTGTGTGTGTGTGTGTGTGTGTGTGTGTGTGTGTGTGTGTGTGTGTGTGTGTACTTCCACCCCACCCACCCATTTCTGACCCTGAGGGCAGGAGGAGGAAACGAGTATCAGAATGTGTCAGTTTTTGTCAGGCTGCAGATTAGCTGCTCTGCAGACCTGAAACAGGAAGGCACAGACAGATGTTATTTTTAACCCCAACAGGCAGCGACACACCTGAAACCCTCCATCACCTCTCTGCTGCACATACCGAAACAAGACAACCGCTGTTTTATGAGTGGAGCAAAGTGATACGCCCAAAACCTTAAAAAAAAAAAAAAAGAGTCCCTGGAAAAAGGCGGCAGSCAGCGCTCAGACTGTGGCCTCAGAGCAGAGTCAGACTGATGTGGTTTTGACTCATCTTCTCCCTGCAGTCTTCGTCACAATATGCTCCTCCCTCATCTTCATCCCTCCTTTGTCCTTTAGCGTCTACGCCACAGCTTCCCCTCCACCAATCAGGCTCCCACTCTCTCTCCCCACCCACAATCGTTCGTCTCCAAGCTCCTTTTTCCCCCCATTCATTCATATTTTTACAGCTCGTTTCATCCTCTTGGATTTTCTCGTCTCTTCTTATTTATTTATTTTATTTATTTATTTATTTTCCTGTGTTGGTGCCTTCCTGTCT